AAAAACGTTGTGATTTATGTTTATAAATATGACAATTACTGCCATATTACCATATATACAATCATGAGAGATAGCATGGCCAAAATACCCTAATGAAACTACCGTCATGCTCTCATTATATGATACCTCTTATTTTAGTCTCCGCATTCAAATTTATATCTATTTTTATGCTCCGCATAATATCAGAATAAGAAAATACAGTTCTTAATTAGTATATAATATGCCATTTTAATTAGACAGCATGATTTACCGTTAAATTCTATAGAGTCCAATGAGTGACAGTTTCGACTTCTTAGTTAGTGATATATTATATTTCAATTAAATGTCAGAGAAGACATCAATCAGATAGTGTGCCCATGATATTTGTCTGTGAACCTGTTATAATAGTTATTGTAGATGAATGGACTGATATAAGATAATAAACAAGTGTGCACATATTATAGCTGGGTATTTATTACTTAGATATTATGAGAATATGTGCAAATTATTTTAAAGGTTATGTACTATATCTGAATGGAGCCGCTCAAGTTTCGATGTAATCATCTGACTAATTTATGATGCTTTAAATTCTTTCAGTACTCTTCACCATTCTTTGCATTTGACATTGGATGTAAACCTGCAAAGACCTGTAAATCTATGTTTATCATACTAATACAGGCCTTATTGTTAAGGTTATCATCCATTGCAGGGAGCATTTTTATTTAAATATTGAGATATTTGAGCCTGGTTGTTTATTGATAGTGTTTGTTCAGTGTTAGTGGCATCTTTTGAACCTTGTTTTCTGGAACCTATCAATAAGCATGTCTGTAATCTTGATTACGATTCCCCCAGGGGTAATATATTATTATATTATTTTATGGGGCCATCCCAGTGCTCACGCGCAACAATCCTGGGTTCTTCTCCTGCTTAATTTCAAACCAACAAGAAGTCCAAATGGCAATCACTTGTCCTGTGAAGGCCAAGGAAGAGCCATCTCCAGAAATACCACAAAGTCAAATGATAAACGCCTTTCCATTAGAATATAAAAAGATGGGTGACAATATGAAGGAAAAAGCAATCACCCCAAACCTCCCTAGTCCTCCAATTGGAACCCTCTCCATTTTCCGCAATACCGTGTCTCATTTATACATCATATGTAAATCATTTTCATTCTCCATACAATACCATTAAATATGGCACCCTCTGTGTTCGATGTTATTTTAAGGCCAATTACTGCATTTTCTCATTGTTTGTCCGCAATCATTATCATTCAGATAGTTTTTTTTCGTTTTAATTGACGCCGTTCATGATTAGGTTATGATAAGAATGGTGTTTTTGTTCCATAAGCAGCAATATATCTGGTAAAACAGACATTTCTTTATTTAGTGGATTATCTGCTTTTAAATAAAGAGTTTAGCTTTTGATTGATGAGGGCGTGGCATCGCTAGAGCTTACTGTAGATGTCAGATTTTTAGTGAAGAGCCCTCATTGCTCCAGCCAGTGGCTAGTGCTATGTATTATCTATTACAGCTGGAACAGAACCCAGAGAGGCAACCAGCTCTGTTTTTCTTTTTTTTTTTTTTTAGCCAGTGGAGGCCGGGCTTGGACTGTTGGATATCCATGATGAGGAGAGGTGTACATCTGCAAAAGTGAAAACCATTCTCCTCCATTGGCTTGGCGTGAGCTATGAGACATCTGTGAGGTTTATTGTCCGGCGTTGATATAAGGGATAGAGAAATTGCGTATTATTTACATTGTTCCGAGAAATGTCAAGGTCCATAACTAGGTCACTGAGTGCACCATCCTCACTACATGATGGTGTAGTGTTTAATGTTGTTGTAATGTAAATAACTGTGATCTTACCAACCATGTACATGCTTAGTGCATGATGCATTCAATTGTAGTGCTCTTTAGTAGACGCGTGTTGTAGTGAAGCGTTAGGTGTTTTGGAATTCAGAGTCTGTGGATTTTGCTACCGTGTGTAGTTCAGAATCAGAATTAAAATTTTTATTTTTGGCGCAAACAAGGTTTGGTCCATGATCTATGTATGTATGTATGTATGTATGTTATGTATGTATGTATGTATGTATGTATGTATGTATGTATGTGCATGTTTGTTTTGCCCATTGTGTTTGTGTGTGTCCGCAGGCAGGTTTAGATAGAGCCTGGGAGCAGGTCAGGCAGCATCATTAATCAGCAGAGGGTTGTGTGTGACTCTCTGAGCTGACATCATTACATCCTACACCCTGCAGTAGCTCACTGCTTGGACTGCCCTATCTGACCAGCCCAAAGACCCACAAACTGCCGCACACACAACATACACCATTATTCCTACACCTTTCATACAATTGCAAAAGATACATAATGCATAACGGATGTTTTCAGACATATCCCTAACGCACTCCGTAGGCCTGAAGATCCACTTACAGTCTCTAAGCAAGCGTCACCCACTGCTTCTAGCACCATTACACACTAAACCTGAACAACTGTATGGAAACAAAATATCTAAGAGATATTTAAGGACATGACAGACTATCAAAGAACTTTGGATGTAAATATTATTTGTGTAACAAGTTTTGTTTCTTTACTTGTGAAAATGGTTCTAAAGCCATTTTGTGGTTGTGGGCCTGTTTCACAGAGGCGTATTTAGGCAATGAATGCTTTGAGAGTCTGTCCAAACACAGCTGATCCCTCAGCTCCAAAGCCCAGTATGAGTTTTTTCTAGTGTGTGTGTGTGTGTGTGTGTGTGTGTTTCATCATTTCAACAAAATAAAACATTAATACAGCAAACCTTTCTTGGGAACAGTGCCAACCGTTTATCTTATGTTTTCTCCCTCATGACTCTCATCTTTTAATCTTTGTGTTTTTTTATTATTTATTCCAAAAAGAAATGAGGCCTTTTATCTTTGTTTGTCTCCCTTAGATCCAACTGTGCTGAGAACATCCGGAAGCACATCCTCCATACAGGCAAACACGAGGGTGTGAAGATGTACAACTGTCCCAAATGTAACTATGCCACCAACTCTCCCATGGAGTTCCGCAACCACCTGAAGGAAAATCACCCTGATATTGAGAATCCAGACCTCGCCTACCTACATGCAGGTAACTAATCGTTCAGTCTGTACATGAGGAGACGTCTTTTAAAAATAGAAAGAAATAAAGTGTTTCACAAATGAGCCCTGTCGCCAGATTAGGAGGATCTGGTTGAGTGGTGGAAGGATTAGGGTTAGAGTGGAAGAATGCACTTTGGCAGCTGGCCTGCGCGGGTGCTCTACTGTACCTCAGTGCCTTATTTATAAAATTCCTGTCTCAAATGAAAATATTCCTGTCAGGACTAAGATCATATATGCCTACATTTAGAAACAACAGTGCCTCGAAGACAGTCCCAAACACTTCTGTGTTTGAAGGCTTGTTCACAGAAATGTCTGGGAGCTGCCCACTGCTACCATGATATTGTACTGTTGGCTGCTGAGGATCAGCTAAAAGTTAAAGGGACGCTCCAAAGATCTGCTCACTAGTCATGGGGAGTGCTGTAGTGTCTTGTGTATTTCTGGAAAGAGCTTTTAAGTTTGAGACTTTGGGTCAACTTTTTATCAGAAAACCTGCATCACAAACTGGAGGTGTGGAATTTGAAAGACCAGTGAGTTGAATTATGCCATGTAAGCTTTAGTCATACTAGGGACTACATTTCAGGATGTCTCTCCCTGTATCTCTTCATTCTTCTTTTATTTAATTCATTTTTAAATCTGTTTCTTTGAGTTCCCCCAACTTTATGGAAGTGTCACAGTAAATCTCTGGACTGCCCCTTTAAGTGTCTTGCTCAAGGGCACTTTAATGGTAGCTGGGAACATATTATGTCCATAATATATTCATAATGTGAATTTCAATGTGTATTGTGCACAAACACATCCACATACATACAGTATATACCCACAGACAAATCAACATTTGAAATCATTCCACTGAAATAAATCATCTGGCTGCCCCCGCAACCCTGGCCAGACTCCTATTATACCACAGAGGTCAGATCTTCCAGAATCCTTGTCTGTGTTTTTGTCGCTGGATCAAGTCTTGCTATTCAATGCTGATAGAGGGCAACCAGCCACAAAGAGGCAGCACTCAGATTGCTGGTCTATCCATCCCTGCCAATCACTCAGGCCATAGAGACAGATGAAATCTTGTTCCTCTTCTATTGGTTCCTTTGTATCACTGTGTTCTTCCTTTGTCCTTGAAGGCCACCAAATCCAATCGGCAGAGTGCTTGTCCTTCAGGGGAGCAGAGAGGACAGCCTTTATCCTGTTATCCCTTTGACCTTAAATAAAAGCAGTAGAGTTGGAGGGAAGCTCCATGAGAAAAAGGCCAGGCAGGGACATTACTGGATAATGGCTGCATTCTGGTGGCACTGTGGTTTATTTCCTATTGAAAGTGAATGGATCTGAGTTGTGTCTTTGTGCTGACTCTGAAAAGTTTTTTTCTTTAAATTTCCCAAACAGGTTTATTCCTGGTATAATTTCTATTCTTCAAATTCAAGGACCAACTTCTGTCTTTGATCTCCTTGACTTCCATGTCCTAACCTCCCAGCAGAACCTTTCTACCTTCACCTACTCTTACAAACACCTCCCTGCTTCATATTCTCCGTACCCTCTCACCTTAAGCCAAAGCACATCTTTACACTCCTTCTTACCCCTTCATCCCTGGATTTCCCTCACCTCTGTTTGTCCTTATGCATGGCTGACCTTTAGTGAAGAAGAAGGTCTCATTGATTCATTTAGCTGTTTTGTGTCCCCTTTACTGTGATCTGTTAAGCCATTTGAGAACACAACAGTTACACCAAATAAAGACGGAGATTTCTCTGTATGTAAGCAACGTGCATTGTGCAAGTTTGTATGAGCGAAGGTCAGATCTTGTTTAGTACGTGAGTCGTCTTTCAGTCATCTGGAGGAAACATCCTCTTCTCTCAGTCAAGTTAGGCAGCATGTTTTCAAGATGTCATCTTGACGCTCTAATTTATATTCAGCTCACACCACATCACAGATATGAACCCAAAGAATGACAGCAAAAGAAATGGTCCAAAAATACATCTGCTGGTGTTTCTTACCCCTGAAGAAAATTCTTTTCAGCACCAATTTCCAGAGAGAAATTATCTGATCCCACTTTGCTTTCATTGATGCATTATAGTGTTCAAGATTTTGCTTCATGGTAGCAACACGTAAATAAACCACTGGAGGAATGCAGAAAATCAACAACCCTCTTTGCTTGATTAAGACCAAAGCAATCAAAATATAGGTGGTTTGAAAAGGCATTGAAAGTACACTTGATCTCTCCTACTTTCAAAAGAGGCAAAAGGGAGGTGGGGGTTGTAGCAGAAAGAGCAGTGTTTCATCTAAGTAGACAGAACGAGACCAAAAGAAAGAGACAGGGGAAAAAAAGATTAAGAAGGTAGATGTTGAATTAACCTGCTTGTGATTGCTCTCTGTCAGAGTGGCACCAGGGCCAGCAGCAAGAGGCAAATCATCTGTGATGGCCCTTCCCGCTGTTCCCCCTTTGAAAGACACAGATCAAACGCACCCTAGTCATGGGCCCTTGCAGCCCCTCGCACCAGATTGATTGACACCCGAACGTCTCCACTGCTGCTCTGTCTTTCCATATAATTCTCTCCCTTCTCTCTCTCTCTTACTCTCTCTCATTCTCCCTCCGTCTTCCCTTCTTTATTCAGCGTCGCACTTCGAATTAAAGCCCTTCTCAAGGATGAAAGCAGAGGTCCTTTGCAAACGAAGGAAGAGAGGGAATTAGACCCAGCAAGTGATGGAGAGGAATGATGATTAGAATTAGAGGGGGGAAAGGAAGGAAAAACGAGGTTAGATATGTGAGGGGAAAATGTTGCTGATAGGACACATTTTAATAAAATGGTAATGACAATTGTCTTCCTTGTGCGATCTGCACAGAGATATGCCAGAAAGAAGTGGCGGTGCCTGTGTGATCTCAGCAGAGATAGCACTGCAGCATAACCAGAGCTACAGGTACCTCAGAGAACTGCGACTTTGCTAAATTACCTCTCGACTAGAACTTACTTTCTAGTTAAAATGCTGCAAGTACGCTATGAATGCAGAAGCTTTGGGAAATGGTATATTTCCTTCTTTTTTTGCTGTCTCCCTCCAGCGAGGTCAGCTGTGGTTGCAGGGCAATGGCTTTGTTAAATCAGCTTCCTGTCCTGTTCAGTACCTAAAACTATGTTACCCCACCACACACACACACACACACACACACACACACACACAGGTGAGATGTCGCCATTAGCTTCGTCAGAGCATCTTGATCCCACTATTTTTAATTGTGAAATATTTCCTTAATTTTCTAGCAAGGTTATAATTGCACATCTTGGGGGCATAGAGATCAAATGCTTTGTAATTAGCTAACAGCGACGGAGTACTTGGATGTGCTGCTTAGTGCCTAAAAAGATAAAACAAATAAATAAATAAACTTCTTCAAGGCATTGTTGCTGCTTTATGCAGATTCTATTTTCCTTAATAATGCATGATGGATGGCTACTGTAGAGGGCTAGAGGAGACCTGGCCTTGTAAGTGATGATCTTAATACACAGTTACAACCACAGGCAAATTCATTTGTTTGCATATATTTTTCCTTATTAAACAAATCTGTAAACAAATATGGGTTTGGATGGCTTTTACTTAAGTTATGCATCTGTGTGCCTCCCCGGCTCCCCTCCCTCGCTTTCACCTTCTGTTCATCATGTAATGAAACATTACTCTCCTGAGTTTTACTTGCGTATTGTGTTACAGCGGCGTGTTGGATTGCGGAGGACAGGTGTGTATGTCATGCAAATGTGTCCTGGTATCCCAGCGCATATGACACTGTGTCGACGTTGTGAAAGAAGCCACAGACACTGGCGATAAAATCAACATCTGTTTCTAATAACAATGTGTTATATGTGACACGTTTCTATGTGGGAAAATATGTGAAAAAAAAACAATGCATCACAGTTCTTTGAAAAACACCTATAGGACATCAAGTCGTCAGCGCCAGTGATGAACCTGCGTCTTTGTGTCACCTTCCTTATGTTGCATTCACATGATAGGCATTAATAAAAAAAGTCATTCTGTTCAGTACGATGTAAAATCTGATTAACACACCCTCATTCTGCTGGTGCTGTCAGCGTAGATTTAGTTATTTTGAGTTACAAAATTAACAATGAGGGATTTTTTTTGGCTTAATGGGAAGCCAAAAAAATGTAAAACACTTTTACCAGCAAAGAGAAGAGCAAACTATGATGGGGCAGTTGTAGTTGTAGTAAATTATCAAAGCAATCCCACCTTGAAAACACATCATCGTGGCCTTCTGTGGTCACAGTTTTTGTTTTTGTGGCCATGTTTGTTATTCGATCTCCATCATATCTAATTTTCCCAATCACACAAAGCAACCTCTGCAAGCCTGCATGTATGAACTTGAAGATTAACTCAGGCCAGTGTTGAGGTGTTAATTGGAAAATTCCCTCATGGAGGAACAACACCTTTCAGCTTCATCTGGTCCTGAAAGTCTCACTGAGGGCTGAAGTGAACTGTAATATTCCTCTTCTGCCCCTTCATCCCAGCCCTACATCTCCCTTTTTTGGACACGTTTCTTGCTCTGTATTTAATACCTATCTCTTTCCATGCACCCACTGCCTGTGTAGTCGTGGTTGAGATATTACAGTTAAGAAGCAGATGTTCAATGCCAGTGTGTCCTAGGAGACATGCAACAAGGGTGTGTGTGTGTGTGGTGTCGTGTTGTGGTGTGTGTGTGTGTTTTTGTGTGTGTGTGTGTGCGTGAGTGTGTTCGAGAGGGGGGTTGGCTAAGCGGTTTAGGGGAACACCGTCGGTTGCATGCGTCTGAATAAACCAATACAGGGCCGGTCTAGGCCGAGCAAGCAGCAATTCCTGAATAATGACCTGCTCCAATGAGCGTGAAAACTCCCCCAACTGGCTGCATTTATCACACATCAGCCACAACAAACGGCCTTTTGTTTCATCCTCTTCATCCATTCCCTTCCCTTCCGGCTGGCCCCAATCCGAGAGCCTCCTCTTAGCCGTTTAGTGGCCATTCAG